GGCAGGCCGCACAGTGGACGATCGACGTGCAGTGTCCGCCTCAGTTTACGCCAAACGTAAGCTTTGGCGAGGGGGGTGTAGATTATCCACGTGTAAAGTATTGTCCCCTTGTGTAGCTCATGGATGACCGCTGCTACTAGTGCTCTAGCAAAGGAAAAGTGTTGCGCTGCCATGGTACAGTGAACTTTGCTAACACTTAGCGGATATCATCAGTGCGTGTGATCTCAGTGGTATTCCCCAACTATAGTACATGTTCCTACATTGCGTCTGAGGTTGTTCAAACAGCCTCTCAAAATGGGTACTCAAATGACTAAAATGGGATGTTGCATGGATTTCCATATCATAGGCCATTAATTATAGGCTGCGTGGATCCGATAATATGATGGCTGGTCCTGTGGAGGGTCAGGTGAAAAAGGGGCCGAATCCTACAATACACTAATCCTGAAAGCTCCCGAGAAATACACAAGGCCCTATCAAACCCGAATGCTTTAGGCCCGTCATTGAGGCATTTTATGAACCTTGAAACCCTCCAGCTAGCAAGCGCCCTAAAACCCCAAGACACATAATAGCCGCGCCTTGAAAGTGAGAGATCAACCCTCTGTGAAGTCTACACTGTAGTGTCTTTGTATGCCTGTAGCATTCTCAAACATGTAGCCGCCTTTCGGCTATAGATCCCCTATAGAGCTTTACCATTCCCAAATCCGAAAGCGTAAACCCATCCACTTGCACAGATCACTAGGACCCTCTTCAAAACCGGCACTGAATCCTAAATTCTCAAGTCCTGATCGAGGATCCAGCTATGGGCCATGCAAGCTCCTCGACTTTGAGCTAGCCAGGGCCCGAGCAGAGATCGGTTTAGGAGTTTACGGTTTATGGAACTAGGGTTTAGGGATTTGGGGAGCGTTTTGGGGTTCTAAGGGCCTACGGTTTTGGGGTTTAGAGTTTGATTAAGGGCTTAGGGGTCTAACTAGGGTTTACAGGTTAAGGATTTTGGGGGGCGAGTGAAATCAGGGGTATTTCGGCTTCATATAGAGGTGGTATACGTGAGTCTTGTTAGAGCTATTTCCTGCACCCCTAAACCCTAAACCCCTAAACCCTAAACCCTAGACCCCATGGTGCTGTTACAACGGGCCTTGTTACAAGGCTCCAGGCGATTTGTAAGTGTCAGGTTTCTTCAAAGGCGGACCCCATGTTGAGGTTGCTTATGCTCGGTACTGTTGATTAGGAACCCAAACAGGATATAAGCATAAGCATTTTAAAGGGATATCCCTACCTTCTTGGGCTTCACTATAAACGGGGTTTATATGGGATATCCCTATCCTAATTTGTGCTTATGTGNNTAGAAATCCTGCATTACCTCATAAGGGCCCTAAACTATCGGGAATGATGGTATATTCCTATTTAGGGGTAATGCAGGATTTAGATCGTTCATGCCCCCGTCCGGTCTTGGAGATCGGTGTTTTTGTTGACGTGGCGCTAGTTATGGCGCACCATATAGGAAGCCAATAGAAGCTACCAGTACAAGGAAAGCATGTCCCTATTAGCGTGTTATCTCATGAGTTCTTGAACAACAGCCCGGCCCGGGGTAAGGGGCCAACCGCCCAGAGCCCCGCAGAACCCAAGTAATCTCGAATTCGAGCCGCCCCACTGCACCAAAACGACCTGAAGCCTGCAATCTTTGGCCGACAGAGCAGCTGAAATTCCCCCCCCCCCC